CCATCCATCTCGTTACTTGTCCAGCTGCAGGTCTAACAAGTATAGGCAAAATCTGACCTTTCAGACATGAGTTATGGTGACTTCCTGTTTTGTTGCGAATGTTTGACAAGCACTTCCTTTATGCTTTTCAACATGTCATGTGTGGTAATCAACAGTTAGCGAACAAAGTTTCAGTCTAATATCTTACAAAGTGCCAAGCTGGAAGTGTCATCCAATAATCGACAGTTTTGTCTCTGAGTAGATGGGGCTTAAGTTATGTCATGAATCCACAATACCAATGTGTCTACAAGTGCTCACTGATGAAGCACACAAACTCAGGTTCAAACTGGATGATGCATCACTGAGATATAACTGTTGGAATAATCTAGGGGCGTACTTGAGTCAAATGTTAAAGAACAATATCAATGTGTCTATAAGTGCCCACTGATCACGCACATAAAATCTGGTACATATTGGATGATATTTCACTGAGATATAACTCTTGTAATGATCTAGGGGTTGCACTGGAGTCAAAAGTTCAACAACAACACCAGTGTGTCTATAAGTGCTCACTAATTACGTACCAAAAATCTGTCTTAGATCGGATGATATTTCACTGAGATATTACTCTTGGAATAATCTAGGGGTGCACTTGAGTCATATGTTAAACTACAATATCAATGTGTCTAGACATGCTCACTGATTATGCACAAAAATTCTGGTTCAGATTGGATGATGTATTGCTGAGATATAACTGTTGGAATAATCTAGGGGGCGCACTTGAGTCAGATGTTAAAGAACAATATCAATGTGTCTAAGTGCTCACTGATCACGCTCATAAAATCTGGTATATATTGGATGATATTTCATTGAAACATAACTGTTGGAATAATCTAGGGGGTGCACTTGAGTCATATGTTAAACCACAATATCAATGTGTGTAGACATACTCACTGATTATGCACAAAAACTCTGGTTCAGATGGGATGATGTATCACTGAGATATAACTGTTAGAATAATCTAGGGGTGCACTTGAGTCAAATGTTAAAGAACAATATCAATGTATCTATAAGTGCTTACTGATCATGCACATAAAATCTGGTACATATTGGATATTTCAATGAAATATAACTGTTGGAATAATCTAGGGGCGCACTGAATCAAAAGTTAAACAACAATACTAGTGTGTGTAGAAGTGCTCACTAATTATGTACCCAAAATCTGGGCTAGATCGAATGATATATCGATGAGATATAACTGATTAATTATTCTAGGGGTCGCACTTGAGTCATATGTTAAACCACTGAGATATAACTGTTGGAAGAATGTAGGGGGCGCATTTGAGTCAAATGTTAAAGAACAATACCAGTGGGTCTATAAGTGCCCACTGATGATGCACAATAAATCTGGTTCAGATCAGATGTTGTATCACTGAGCTATAACTGTAGGAATAATGTAGGTGGCGCTGTCGAGGCTATTGGCCGCTTATCATGGATACCTGTTCAAGGGGTGGGTAATGATCGATCATAGTGATTATTGTGCACCTCGGCTGAAATCTGTGCAATTTAGAGCCAAACGTATTGCAAAGGCGTCACTTCTTAATTTGCCACGCCAACATCCTCAAGCAAAAACAGTTTGCGCTTTAAACCAATTCAGACCATATTGTTACGTCCACCAGGCTTGTTTGGTGGGGGGTAACATTAAAGGAGGCCACACAAGGATTTTCAGTTTAAATG